CCCCAAAACCCCAAAACCCCAAAACCCCTTCAGAAGTATTTTCTATTTTTACACAGTAAATCTAGATATTACAATATTTAAATCATATGGAATCTACAATTGCAGAATCTTTGCCTAAATTTGAGGTGCCTAGGACAAAAGTTATCAGACTTACTTGTATTACTACAATTATAATATCTTTCTAGTGAACTAGAAGCCTTTAAACAATGAGCATACATTTGAGAATACTTGGAAAAATCTGGAATTACATATTGATCAGCTATTTGAGGAGACTCCTTTAGAAAATTAACCATTTTTATTTAAAGAAACATCTTATAGAGTACTTTGTTAATATTTACCCATATTTATTTTTAGAATGCTATGAAGCTTTGCTAGATGGGGAAACAAGTCTAACTAAATGTGAAAGTTCAAGAAAAGATTCAAGAAAAGATTAGAAATAAGATTGTCTAGATCTATGATTTGGTAAAAAATAATGAAGGTATTTAAATAGATACTTCTACAGCAGGAGGACTAGATTCAGATAGAATATTCCTCGAGAAATTTAAAAACTTTTGGATTTAGTTTTGCATTCAGATGCAAGGTATTAAGGACATATTTTCGTATCTAGAGAGGACTTATCTAATTAGACAACCCAATCCAGACTAATCAAGTTTTTGGATAATTGGATTGAGTCAACTCAGATAAGAGATAGGTGAGGATGTCAAACACAGACTTAGACTGGGTGTACTCAAGCTAATTGAAAATGATAGACAAGATGAAAAAAGATAAAACAGAGACTTAATAGCATTACTTATCCATGTAATGTTTGCTCTAAATTTCTACAAAGGTTACTTTGAGGATTACTTTTTAAAATAGACTGAAGAATTTTTCAATCGCGATTCCCTCTTAAAAATGCAAGACTTGAATGTAAGTTTATATTTCCATTTTTAATCAGCATTTTAATTTCGATTTTAATCATAAATTTTGCAGATTTCTGGCTACTTGATTTATGTTGATACAATGATTTAAAAAGAAACTGAAAGAGTAGAAGAATGCCTTGATATATCAACTAAGAAAAGACTAATAGAAATTCTTTAGACCGAACTTATTAAGAATCATGTTTAAGCAATCCTTTCAAGTGAGGAATTCTCCAAGTTCATTTAAGATTAAAGGCTTGATGATTTGAGAAGGCTATATGATCTTTTGAAAAAAGTTAACTTAGAAGGACTCTTTAGAAATTAATTCACTATTTATCTTAAGAAAAAAGGTGAGGATCTCTTAAAGGATGAAGGTTTTATTAAGAAGTCTTTTAAGGGTGTTGAAGACATTCTAGAATTCAAAAAGAAATCTGAAACTTTAGTTCAAAAGGCTTTTCCTTCCAAAGAGGACAGTGATTTATTTAAGCAATCATTAAAAGAAGCTTTTGAATATTTCTTGAATATTGACTCGAATCAGATCTCAGAATACTTAGCCAAGTTCTTAGATATTCATCTAAGAAAGTCTAGTGGTCAGACTGGCATTAATGATGAATAGCTAGAAACAATTATTAAAGAGGTCATATAGGTATTCAGATATGTGAAATCTAAGGATGTGTTTGAAGAGTTCTATTCAAGAGGGTTGTGTAGAAGATTATTGCTAAAGAAAAGTGCAAGCTATGAAGCAGAAAAATCTATGATCAGCAAGCTTAAGACTGAATGTGGTGACTAATTCACTGCTAAAGTTGAAGGAATGCTAACTGATCTCTCCTTGAGTGATGCATTTATGAATGAGTACAAAACAGTCAAAGGGGATAAATTAATATCCCAACATGAAGGTATTGAGACTCATTTCTTCGTTCTTAGTCAGGCTTCATGGCCAATTACTCAGTAGGAAAAGAATGTGGTAATGCCATCTGTTCTAAATAATATACAACAAGATTTTGAGACATATTACAAGAGCAGATAATAAGGTAAATGCTTGACTTGGTGTATCCAAATGGGAACTTGTGATGTTAAGTCTAGATTTTCAAACTAGGATACCATAATGGAGGTGTCTTGCTCCCAGAGTTTGATTCTACTATGTTTCAATGATAAGGATCAGATCAATTTTTAAGAACTAAAAGATAAGACAGGACTGTCTGAAGTTGAATTCTAAAGGCAATTTTTGTCACTTACTTTACCAGAACATCCTATTTTAGTGTAAACAGACTTAAACGAAAATAAAGAAGAGGTTAAAGCAGATGAAAAGAAGCCAGCAGCGGCTTAAAAATGTAGAGTTATTAAAAAGAATTTCTTACCAACTGATTAGTTCAAAGTTAACTTGAGATTTAGACCAAAACTTAAACGTATTGCAATTAATGCCCTGTAAAAGAAAGAAAGCAAAAAAGAAGCTGAAAATGTCCATGAAAAGGTTTTATAGGACAGAAAATATTTGATTGATGCTGCTGTTGTTAGAACTATGAAGGCTAGAAAAACTGTACCTCATAATGATCTAATTACAGAAGTTATCAGACTTGTCAGATTCCCACTAGATATTCAAAGTCTTAAGCAAAGAGTTGAAAATCTTATTGAGTCAGAGTATATGAGAAGGGATGATAAAGAACACAATGTTTATCATTACATCGCTTGACATTATTATCATTTGTTGAATTTTGATAATGATGATGACATTAATAGATTTAATTTCAAAGAATAATTAGCATAAAAAGATTAATCTGATTTTCATGGGGTTTTGGGGTTTTGGGG